AACAACTTCGTAAACAAGTCTTCTTCACTTAATTCAGTGTCACATCTATTGCTGCTCTCTGCCGTGACCTTTGTATCTTTTCTTCTTTGATGTCAGAGCCAACAGTGGGCAGGGAGGCCGCGTCCTCATCTAGCACTTGTGATGGCTCTTTGGTCTTAACCAATTGTGACTGTGTTGCCCAGCTTTGCTTATTCAGCAGTTGTTGTATATCTTTGCTTTTGACTAAAGGAGCCTGAGTGGCCTGGCATTGCTTGTTCCTCTCCTCAAGAATATGTTGTCATCTTTGTATTTTGGAACTGTGTACTCACGTACACATGGCTTTGGATCTGAAACTTGCCTCTAAATCCACCTCTAAAAAATAACATCTGAAAAATGGCAGATCTACCCCATCTGAAAAACCTGATCTGCACCATTTGAAAAACCACCCCTCTGTCTGTTTGTTTTTGCCTTTGGATCTTAATCTCACGGTCCAGATCTGGCTTAAATCTTTAGTGACCTATTGTGTTTTCGTTTTCTTATCTTTTTTTATGATCGATTTTTTCGTTACTCGATGTTGTCTGATGATCGAGTTTTTCGTTACTCGATCGTGTGTGTTCTGATTTATGAGATGTTGAATCAGTCTCGATTCTGCAAGTTGTTGAATCCGTCTCGAATTCAAACCGAGTTTTATTGGCTCTTCTAAGTATCATTTTGTTGGTGAATCAATTTCGAATCCAAACCGAATTCTGTTGGCTCTTCCAAGTGTCATTCTGTTTTCTCAGCTGTCTCGATAGTTTTTCTATCCTTGGTGAAGATCTGGAGATTTTTTGTGTGATGGCTCAAATATGTTTATGAGGCTTGTTGATATGCCACTGCAATTTGTGCTTGTTGTTCAATCAATATGAGCATGGAGACCACTGCTTCTATCGGTCACACCATGCACCTGAAGACTTGAAGATCTAGAAGACCCAACTCGTTTGTTTATGCAACTTAGTATTCAAATTCCATCTCCTTTGTATCAAAGGTTCTTGAGTTTTAGGGGGAGTCTTAGAGTTAGTATATCTATTGTGTTAGCATTGATATACATCATTATGGATACATATCAGAATAGATACACTGAAGATCTAACTCGTTTATTTATGCAACTTATCAAACTCCAACTCCTTTGTATCAAAGCATCTCGAGTTCGAGGGGAATGTTAGCATATGAATATCTATCGTTTTCATATTTATATACATTATTATGGATACGTATAGATATGTATCTGTATGGGGTATATATCTTTTGATTATGATAATATTAGTTAGTAATTATCAATAATTGTTGGTATCTATCCAAATCTCTATTATTAGCTCTATAAACGTATTTTAGGATTTTAACACTTTGGGGTCTTGGGATACAGTTCAATGGTCAACACCAACTTGAAGTTTGAATCATAATTGCTTGCAAATGATACAATTATGGGAAGGGGAGAGTGGTAGCAATGCTAGCTCGATGGTCAAAAAATTTCTAATACATTATCGTGGTGCGGTTTGGTTTCTCTATTCATTAGTAGATGCAGCTTTTATAAGGTTTAGGCTTTATGAAAACAAAGTAAAGCCTCACTTCAAATCGTTAGAAAATACTTTGGGCATTAAACTCCATGATGACTCTAAAATCATTTTTCAATACGACTATAAAATATGAAGCTCAACAAATCATACCCTCTCTCGTACTTTCTCTACCTCTCTCCACCCATCCTCTCTCTTTCTCTTTGTACCCATTTTTTTCTCTTTCTACCTTCCCTGACATTCTCTCTATCTCTTTCTCTCTCTATCTCTCTCTACCCTCCCTCACTGTTTCTCTCTGCCGACACACCGAGAGAAAGAGTGAGGGAGGGTAGAGAGAGATAGAGAGAGAAAGAGATAGAAACATGTGTGATAGTTTTTTTGGCTAAGTAGAGAGAGTTTGAGAGAGAAATATAAAAAAGTTCTTTGAAAAGGGGAAGAGAGAGGGGACATGTCATTTTGGTCTTAAAATACTTCAAATATTGAATATTTGACTATGAGTAAATACAAGAAAAAATTGTCTTAGGGTTTAGGGTATAATACAAAAAGTATTGAGGGTAAGATATGTAGAAAGTTGAAACTAGAGATACTTATAATTTTCCAAAATAAAAACTACTATGGGAACTGGTTGAAGATCATGGCGGTTTCATTTTGACATAATGCTTATAGACCGGCCTGACCCCGATGATATTGGGGGACAATGGTCGGTTCCAGATTGCCATCAACGATTTTCGATTTGGATAAGGCGGTTTCGATCTGGATCAATGATTTTTCGATTTTTTTTTTTTTTGCACATTAAAATGGCAATCAAGAATGCCAATTCACCAATTTGAACTACTTTTTGGGGTGCCCGATCCGGATCACCGCTTTGTTTTTAAAGTCAGAGGTTCTTGCCAAAGCTGCTGCGATCGTCTACTATTGGAATTTTGCTACACAACCTGGAAAATTTTGGAAAATTGCCTTTACCGTGGTACCAAATTCTTTACCATACGTAGCATGTAGAATGGGGCGTAAAACTCATATTTACATCAATATTTACATAAACTATCTGGTTTCCATTATGAATCGAGTTCCATTTATCTTTTTAGACTAATGACTATTATAACAACCATGTTTCATTTTCAGATACTATTTATACTCCTTGATTTTCTATTTCTAATCCACTTTTGCAGCCTTTACATTAGGTAAGAGCCCTTATTTCGAACATTTATCTTAAGAATTTCTCCATGAGCTAAACCCTAGGTTACAAAGAGCTTGTGTTTTTTATTTCCACGTCTTATTTATTGTCGAACGATGCATGGACATGAGAAAAAAAATGGATTTCAAGTTTTGGAAATAGTGTATTTTTTAATGCATTTTTGGACCATCAGTTTTCATGATTTTCAAGTTTTCATAGATATGTCGATTGACACTATTTTTTAAGTTTTAAACTTTATAAATAAATATGAAAATATATTTTAAAGCTATCACAAAGATTTTCAATATTGAAACTCTATTTCTCGACACTATTTGAAGGTAGGCTCTAATTTGATGGCACCCGATTGATTTTAATCGGGTGCATATTAAATATATAGAGGGGATTGTTAAGTACCGGGTAAAATTACCAAATTTATCTTTTGGTCTACAAGTTACATAATTTTACTGTGAGGTCCCCCAATTTTTACTTTTTATTTTTCTAATTTTCCCCTGTCCACTTAATCTTTTTTTATTTTTATTTTTCTGACACTTGTAAGGTGTATTCCCTAGAACTCGTCGATTTGATACTAAAGACAGCCCCACAAATATAAAAAACAGTAACAAAATGAAGAGTTTTATGTTTGAAACGTTGAACGCGGGGCAGAATTGAAAAACGAATAATAAAAATCACAGTACGATCTTGCGGTAAAATCAGCTAAATTTCCGCGGCGGTCATAAAAAAGGTTAGTCCATGGCTGAATGATAGATGGTACTCCCACGGTATCAATATATACGAGCGTTTTAAAAAACGCCGAGTCGAACCGGACTCGGAAATCGTAAAAGGGGACCGGATCGCCTAAAAAATCGGAAATCGTCTGGTTCTAGAGAGAACCGGACGATTCTGTACAGTGAATACGGAATCGGTGAGTCCGAACAGTGAATCGGCTAGTCCGTACGGAATTTTTTATTTTTATTTTTTTTTATTTTTTTATTTTTTTTGTAATCCATGATAGATTTTTTTGTAATACTTGATCGATTATTTTGTAATCCATGATCGAATTATTTTTGTTTTTTTGTAATCCATGATCGAATTTTTTGGTTTTTGTAACCCATAATAGAATTTTTGTAACCCATGATCGAAATGTTTGTTTTCTTTTCTTGTAATCCATGATCGATTTTTTTGTTTTTTTGTTTTTGTTTGTAACCCATGATAGAATTTTTGTTAATCCATGATCGAATG